TCTCTGGGCATCTTGGCCAACTGCGGGCCTTTTAGGCCAACTGCGGGCCTCGACCTCTGCGGGTCTCTGTGCCTCTGCGGGCTTCGACCTCTGTGGGCCTCTGTGCCTCTATAGGGCTCGGCTACATTGGCAAGCCGTTTCACTGTTGACATGGTATATTTCTGCCTCAAAAGGGCACGGCTACATTGGCAAGCCGTTTGAGTATACCTGAAAAACACTTCAACGGGTCAAAGCCATACTCAGCGCCCCTTCACCACAAGCCCATTCCACGACCCCTGTGCTGGGCCGTAGGTCCATAAATGGGGAGGGAGAGAAGGGATGGGAGAGAAAGGATGACAACATCAAGCTCTGCTGGCATCATCTGTTGGATTTTCACAAGAGTCCACGTGCGCCAAATGAAGCAAGGAATGTGCCACCAACAAAAGAGCGTTAATTTTCCGAATAATATAACGTAGTTTATGGCTCCCTGTTCTGCCCTTGGACAGGATGGACAAAGCGACATAGGAGTCTGTGAGGTGAAAGATTCTGCGATTGACCAATTGCCTGTTGAGGGCTTTCCAAAGAACGGTGAGATAAATAGCTCGGATTTCCAACGCGTTTATGTGTTCGGGAAAGTCCCAGCGCGTCTTGAAGATCGGCTGCCATTCCCACCAACTTGCCGCCACAGATTGCCGTGGCATAGCCTTCGGATTCAGCACTTGCCCTGTGGAAACCCTGATGTCGGAACCAGTGTGGCGCACGCGGGCACACAGGTGTTCATTCATGCGCACCACCGTCTTTGAAAGACCTAGGTCACCAAAAGATGTTCCAAACTGAAGAGGGCAGGTCAAAGGCAGGCGCAGTCCACAACCAGGGGGGAGGCCCATACGGCCAAACAACAAGGAGGGTTCGAAACTCTTAGTGTAATGGGCCACACCAGCAGCAGCAAATAGGACAAAAGACCAGACAGAGAAACTATCTCCTATCAGGCTGCACCGCTCATCCTCAAATGCAGTCACATTGGCTTTAGCCGCGGAGGCGGACATACAGAACTGAGTATGGGCTCGTCCATATCCCATAAGTAGTTCCCTTTCGTCCGCGTTCAACAGGCGACCTGACCCTTCAGAATCAAAAACCAAGTATTGCCATTTATACTGGTATGGTGGGAACCTAAAGCTGTCACTTTCCCATCGGATTCTGGTAGCATAGTCCGTCCGGTCTAGCCCTGCCGGCCGGGGAGGCGGCTGGTCACGCCGAATCGCTTTCATGAACGTGGGGTAGACTACCGTGGCCAGGTCTTGTGACCAGCCAGGTGTCAGCCATTGAGATGGCTCGGGCCATTGGCCTTCCACCCAGATCTCATGAAAACCTTCTCTCTTTCGGAAATATAGATGAGGAAACATCTCCATTCGAAGTGAGGTCCAGCAATAGCGAGGCCTAGAATTAGGTACTTGTTCACTAGGGTCAACCTTATATGGCTCGACTCCAAGCAATTCGCTGATCTGGTTCCTTGCCGCGTGATCCATGCTTGAGACATTTTCAACAAAGAAATGAAATACAGCCTCGGGGAAGAGCTCACGGCAAGCCTGAAATACAGCGTGAGCCTCTCGGATCAGCCCACTGGATTTTCCCTCTAGGTTCATCCGGTTGGCTCGAACACTGCTCAAGTCAACACAGGGGAAACCTGCCCAGGCATGGATCTCCTCAAAATCCTCCACGTGCTCTAGTAGCTCCCGCAGTTTCTCTTTGGTAAGAGTCCTAACATCTTCCCAAAAAATAGTGTCTGGCCATCTGCGAGCAGTGGTTCGATTGCTGGGTTTGTGGATATCACAGGCTAAGAAGGCGCGGACTTTGACTCCAGCCACGTCATAGCATCTGGCGGCGCCTCCAATGCCGTTAAACAAGGAAATCACGACAATTGGAACCTCCATTGGCATATTTGTCCGTTCTTGAATCTCCAGGAAACCCTTTCCATCTACTGTAAGAGATCTGGCAATTGCGACCGCTCCTCCCGTTTGGCTGGCATCACTGCAAGTAGTGACCTCATCAATCCTAGCCCCTAGCCAGGTGTGAAACAAAGGAGCGCCCAATATCGCAAACAGCACCTCTGACCGCACTTTAAGTACCTGAGCCTGAGAGCTACCTTTAGAGCTAATGTAGTTCCATACTTCATCAAACTGACACATGCCTGGCCGCCTGAACTGCAAAGCGAAGCACCATCGGCCCATCATGATCTGTAACTTCTTCTTCGAGAGGTGCGGTTGCTCTAACAACCACAAAGAACTCTTAATGATTTTTACCAGCCTTTCGCAGCTGGCACCTATCCACTGTCCTGCTCCGCCTATGAATGCGCCCAATTCAACACCACTCTCGGCGGCCACCACGGACTTCCCAGGGGAGACTACAATGCCTGCTTCACTCCAGAGAAGTTCAGCATGCTTTTGCAACCTAATCAGCTCCTCACAGTCGCCGTCAGTTACCTTAGCTCCCCCAGCAAAGTTGTCCAGGTACACGTGCCACCAGGGTTTACCACAAAGAGAACCTTCAGCTTTGCTATTGACAATCCAGCTAGGCAATACCGCAGTTTTGTGGATCTGGGACTCTGCACTCAGGCCCCCCGAAAGCAGGACAGCTTCAGCAATTTCTTGCATAATTCCCACTGCTGAGCTCCAGCCCATGGGGAGCACACAACAAGACAAGTACCACAAGTCTTCCTGAGCGTCAAGGGCCTCCAAACCTAACGTAGCAGAGTCAAACCCTAGATTGAAGCACAACAGGCGGCTCCATTCCAACGGCATCTCAAACAAGTAGAAAGCACATGCCATGTCAGACTGGGCGATACGCACGGTCTCATTGTCGTCCAGCACCACATTGAGCCACTGTGCAATATTTGGAAGTTTAGCCACTCTGCCCGGAATGACACGGAGCACGGAATTCACCGGGACCAGGTTCATGATCACTCGAAGAACCGTCTCCCCTTTTGCAGTTAGCTTAGATTTAGCTACTCCAAACATTCCGTTCAGGATGCGCTCGCCACGATACACCGCAACTTGTGACGCATGAGTCCAACGGCAAATTCCTCGCCGCACCAGCTCCTGAGCCACCTCCAGTCGCTCTTCAGCGACAATGTGCACCTTGCTCTGAAGTTTTGGTAGGGGTTGGCCTACGTCGGGATTGAGACAGCCAAAAGGATCCAACAGCAGCTCCCGGGTCCTTCCCCCTACCCATTCAACTGTTGACACGGAAGCACCATGCCCCTCTGGCGGGAGTCCTGGTTGAATTCTACTTAGGCTCAGGGCCTCGGCTTTGCAAATTTCCTCTCCAGTGTAAGACACAGACCGCTTCTGGAAATCATCCCTGATTTCATCAATACCCCATACTACCTTGCAGTCATCTTTCAACATCCTGGTCACGGACTGCTTGATCGCTTGCATCAGGTCCCGCTGCGCAGCCGTGGCCCTGGACCCCGACACACACACCTTACCTAAAGCGAGGTTGTTAGCGAACAGCACGACCAGCTCACACCAACATTGGACTGCTCGTTCCAAGGGGTCTGCAGAGGCCGACACAAAAGCCTGAACATCACAGGGGTTAAAAGAGGAGGCCAAATCGGGGAAAGAAAACAACGGCAACGGAAAAACTTGTCGCTTAGAGTGTAGCACTCGTGATAGCTGGCACACAAATGAACTCCCTTTTTTCAGTGAGGCTATTGCTCGGAAACTGTGCATCAGGCGGCTCTCATCGGCCTCCTGGTTGACGAAGAATTGAAAATACAGCCCAACTCCCAGCTCGGCCATGCAGCCAGCCGAAGTCAGCCACTGTGCTATAGTCGACGTCTTTGAGGGAGCCATCTTCACTCCTCCTTTTCCGTGTTTCTCCTCTTGGGGTTTTCTCTCGTCTGGCCCTCTGGCCTCTCCCAGGCCGAGATCCTCCGCGGCCTCCAGGCGCCTCTGCCTTTCCACTGGTTTCACGCGTCTCCTTTTGAGTCCTTTCCTCCTTTCCCTTTCTTTTGTCTTCCTTGCCACGGCACGGATTGCCACCAGCCATGACCTCCTTTTCCTTCCTGTGACTTTCTTCTTGGGACGGGGTCCTCCGCGGCGTCCTTGCCCATTTTCCTTCAAAACCTCCTTAGTGCTTTCTTGGCAGCGTGTTTCTCTTTCTTCATCACGTTTCTCTGTCGCTGAGGTTCCGCTACTGCCACCGAAGAGGCCAGAGTGGTTATAAACCCCTTTTTCAGTGGAGTCCTCCTCAAGCTCCTCATAATATCTTCTTTTTGTCCTCTTGACTCCGCATCGACCCCCGCTCGGCGAGCGCCAGCCAGGGTCCTCATAGTCCCAATCTTCGCACCAGTCCTCAACTGGTCCTGAGCAGGGTCGGCATCGAAAACCTCCCCTGGTTCCGGTGGGTCGCCACCTATCTCGGCCCGTCGACCAGGCCCCAAACACTGTTGCCTTTGCTGCAGCCTTACCAGCCGGCCCCGTAGGGACCCAGGCTCGGCGTGGCCATTCATCACAACTGGCAGCCTTACCGCCGCCAAGCGAGCGGAGGCAGGGGCACTTAAGCACCCTACGCTCACACGCTCTCGCTTCCGCTTGGTCGACCCTGTGGCCACGACCTCCTCGGCACAAAGTCTTTCCACAGGCTTTGCATCGTCCTCCTCCATCTCCTCGGTAGGGGGACTTGCATCCCGTGTTGCTCCTCCTGAGCCCTGGAGTTGCTTCAACATCTCGCGTCCAAATTCTGAAAGGCAGTGAGCCGGAAATTCGGGTCCATCCCGAACTTCCCGCTGACGCACCCGGAAAACACCGCCTTCCACCACGCACGGCCCCTCGTTCAGACAAATGCGACGAGCACCAGCGCGGCGATAGAACCAACCTGAGAGTGCATGCAAAGCACCGTCTCGACCGGCGCCAATTATTCTCACTTATACCAAAAAGCTCCCATCGTATGCAAGGGTTTGACCCAGCACAACGAGAAAGCCTTTGCCATCCTCTCTTCCAACCTCCCAGCCTGGCACGCTGGTCAAAATGACACGGCCTGGCAGAGGAGACCACAAGTGCCGTCTTTCGAAGTCCCTGACATCGTAGGTGCCAAAAACTCCGCCCTCTGTAAGCCGCTCCGGCTCTTCCCCTTCCGCCGTCATTGATGCTTGGCACGGGGTGGCGAGCCAGGAATAGCTTCTTCTGCTGGGGCATTTGGATCAAAGTCCAAATACGAGCTATCCAACCTGCGATGAACCTTGGCAAAAGGGTTGGCGTCTGCCCGGTACAACCTCGGGTGCTTCCGTCCTGCCCTGTGTGTAGGGTCTCGCTTCCTTTTCTTCTTCTCCTTCCGCTGACCTTCGCGGCCTCGTCGATGTCGACGTTGATGACGTTCTTGAGGTCTGGGTCCCTTCGAAGATGTTGCTCTCTCACCAACTTCAGGCACGGTCTCTGGACCAGCCTCGTTTCCTGCACTTTCCTTCTTCTCCTCAATCTCGATCTCCTCGCTCTTCACGGCTGACTTGGGGGCTGGTGCAGCTTTGGCTGACAGTCCTTCGGCTGATATGATCTTGGCCTTGTCTTGGATGATGGTCGCCTCAGACACAGCCCCAGAATCTTCCTCCTCTGAAAGGTAGGAGCTCTCCTCCTCACGCCTCTGCTTCTCCTCCAAGTGCTCGTCAGCCTCAACACGCGATCGAGGTAAAGTGGGAGCCCTAGGTTCCCTGGGCTCGGGTTGTGTTCCAGCCCGGGGTCCCCTCTCAGGAGTTCTCGGCCTCTCGGACCCTCTGGCAGCCTGAGAGCCAGGCACGACAGCTCGGGTCACTCGGAGAGCACGAATCTGCCTGACCGCGCTGACCACGATATCGTGGGCCACCACACGGAGACCTGGATGGGACCACGCGAATCCCAACTCCGCACCTAGGGCTTCCCACCCACTGCACCCCAAGCACCAAGTGTCACCGGCGCTGGGCAGGCACCGACGACACTTGGCACACACGGCCATCAGCCGCACGAGAGGAGCTTATTTGAGCCCGTGGCCGTCGGAGTTCTTCGTGCAAGTCATCTCACCTACGGCAGATTTCATATGTGTGTTCTATTTCTTGTTGCTATAATATTATATTAATAATACTGTTTGAATATTACATGCAACATCTTTCGTAGGTAAATACCTTCCATTTACAAATCAAATTCAATAAACAAAATGATGAATCGGAAAAACACCATAACAAATTATCCAGTGTTCATTGCTGTTGTCAATCTGATTTTGGGTGCATTTGTCTTCTGAGTTGTGGACCAAGTCCCAGCATTTGGCATTGCCACTCGGCCCAAAGCGTGCCTGATGGGTTTGAGCGACATGACGTATGAAGGATAAAGCTAATTTGATCATCAAATCCATGTGATCATGTTGGAAAAGTGAAGAACTGGAATAACCCGTCACTCCTAGAACAAATCCGTTTTTAGTTCCTTTCTTGAGCTTTCGGTGGTGTCCAAAGCGGGGCGGGGGACCACGGAGAAATGAGAACTTCCAAGTACGCCAGTCAGTCAGCCAGCTCCGATCCTGCCCAGTTGTTCGAGGGTGCAAGCAACCCATAAACCAACCAGAATCTGGTTTTGATTCCGAGCCAGGTGGAGAATCCCTGGCTCCTGCTGCACCCATGTGACCAAGCCCGACTTCTTTTAACTGTGATGTTTCAAACGGCCAGTGACCAGCGCTCGTCAGCCCTCTCCCGGACCAATGCTGAAACAGCGCAGTTCCCAGCGGTTCTCCTCGTCACAGCAGTCCTCTTTGCGAAAACCGGCGCTCCAACACACATATCCTCGGTCATAGCGCCATAGGCCCCGTGCCATAGGCCACGAGGAACAAAACAAATCAACAAAAATTCGTCGCCACCAACCTTATATAACCTAATGGAGATGGACCGAGACTCCGAGGAAAATCCAAAAATGAAACCAGAGATCTCGAAGTCTTGCAAGCACTCATATCGAGTCTGGGTATCTCTCAGGAGTTCAGCTCGAATATCCTCAAGTCATTCGACCTGAGGCCAAGGCCTGCATTGCTCACCTTGGAGGAAAGCCATAGCACCCGATGGCTTTTGTGCCACGCAGGTTCCACCCGGTTCCTTTCTGTGTTTTCAGCGGAGATGTCTCGCAGCGCCCTAGAGTGCATTCCAGCGATTTATCAGGTTCTTGATCGAAGTTCTTCCTTCTAACCTTGGGCGAAATCACCACTGGGATGGCGATTGTCGCGTGGATTCCCCCCGGACTCGCGTGGCACCATGGGAGCGTTTTCCGGCGCCTGGCGGATTCGAACGCCCCGGCCGATCTTCTGATCGCAACGACTGGCCCAGCGACTGACCCTCCTACAGTACACAAAACCCGTCACACCCACCGAACAGCTTTCTCTTCCCACCTGGTGAGTCCGAGATCGGGTCCATCCTGGTCCATCCAGCCCGATCGCAGGGAATCACCCGCTGGCTCCTCCCAACTCCTCCCAACTTTTCGGCTGTTGAGTCACGCTTGGCCAAAAAGGCTTAGAGCTGCGAGAGGTCACGTGGGGCAGCTTCTTCATGAACCACCTTGGTCTGACTTCACTGAGTTCCTGACCTGGGACCTGGAAGGAAAATGCCCCACCCCACTGGCACCTGATCTTCATCGATGATCACCTAAGACTTGGAACTTGGACTGAAGAACAAACACAAACATCGGTCCCGTTGGGAATCCTGCATGGTCCACCCACATGCTCAATACACCACCCCACAGGTAGGGTTAGAATATCTTGGAATGCTCATCCACGTGGCCTCCTAGCCTTCTTGCGGAGAGAAAGATGTGCCTTTTTTTCACCCTTTTTGCATTTAATCTTGATCTTTTGTAGCATTCACGGAAAGCTACAAATATGGGTTGCGTTTGTTGGAGTAGCTTTGGGTACCGCACTGGAAGGAGTTGTAGGAGACAAACAAGCCAGGCCTCACACGACCTGGCCACAATCGGCCAGGGAATGGGGGCTGTGAGTAATTGGGGCAATGCGAGGGGTTTCACCCGAATTTGACGATCGTGAGCTCCTCAACGATTGGTGATTCAATGTCAATGATTCAATGATCATCCAATGAAATGATCCCATTTCTCGGCAGCTACTTGTGTTGTCCAAGAATCTCCTCCTCGATGGCCTACTGATGCTCTGTCCTTGGTCTTGAAGACTCTGGCATTAGTCTTCAACCCCAGCTCCCCAAACAGAGTGGAGCTGAGGGAGGAAAACAATGAGCTTAAAAGGATACTTTAGGTATCCCGGTATCCGATGTCAAATCTGGTCATCGGGACTGCACAAGCCAACCCCCATACAGCCTACAAAGATAAAAACTTGCACAACATGTGCCAGTGCTATCCCTAATTGTGGTGTCATCTGCCACCATAAACCACCACCCAATCTCTCTCAAACATATGACTTGATCACATGCCAAAGAAAAAAACCGATGACTGCGCATGTCGCAAGTAGCGAGCCACTCCCAGCAGCCCCAGCCACGCCACCTGACCACTCCCGGCAAGTCCGCCTAGTGTTCTCAAGGACTGAACCTGGCTCCCCCAATCATCGTCCAGCTCATCCTTCACAGCCAACTTGGGTAGATGGAGGGAACGCTGTGGATGGAGGGAAGGTCGACATCTAGCAACATCCCTTTTTTCCACACTTCTTATGGACTAGCAACATCTAGAAACATCATGAACTATCCAATCGTGGAAAAGCCCAGCACAAACCAATCCCCCAGGAGCCAGGGAGCTCCCAGAAGCCACCTGGAATCACCGTCAACCGAGGCTCCGAGACCGGCAACATGAATACCTGCTCCACCTGAGTAGAAAGATAGCTAGAGTCTGCGGAGATCCCTGAGGACCAACATCATTCAACCGGGAACCCGTCCTCCATCAAGCTAGCAAATCGCAGAACATCCCGATGCGTGGCCTCAATGCCGGCGCTCGCTCGTCTTTGGGCAACAGCAGCCAACCCACAACAGCCAAACCCTGACTTCAAACCAATGAGACCGGCAACCGAATGAACGCCCCTTCTGAGGGCCAGCAGCCGGGAGAGGCAGGGTGTGAGTTTTTAGTTAGTTGTGTTTATTTTTTTGTGGAGGAGGGGGTTGTTGTTTTTCAAGGGTCAGCTGGCAAAGGTTGAGACTGTCTGAGACTCAGTTCCTTCAACCATCAACTAAGATCTGGTGGACTTACTTGGCGCGTTGGATCCGGCCTTCATAGCTGTCGATGTCCACCTTGGAGGCAAAGACTGAGATCCAAGCACCCTCCAGCAAGCTCGTGGTCTCACCCTGCCAGGCAGGCAACAACCGGTGCGCTTGGATGTATGAGTTGATATGGCGTTCGAGATCATTAGTATTCATCGAACGTGGTCTGGCTGGGTGTGATCTTTCCCGAAGGAGGGCTGAAGGACGGGTCCCACCGGTTCCCAACTCCCGACGGCGCTGGTTTGAGCTCGAAACATCGCCTCTTCTGGAAGGAGCCAGTCATCTCCAAAGAGCACGCCACCGGGCGACAGCACTTTCCAGGCCTGGGCCGAAGCTTGGAGAAGGGAAGCCACGACGATACTAAGCAACACCTGTGTTGTAGTGTCCAGGACGACCAGTGATGAAAATGATGAAACTCTACCAAGATAGGCTCTCCAAGCCCTGCCCCCCCCCACACACCCGAAAGTGGAGCTGTCTGCTTAAGCTAGAGCATGTGCGCTGTACACACGTGTATTGCGTACTGAAATTTTACCACTAGGAATTCCAGGAATGCCCGCTGTTTGGACCTGCCTAAGGGCATGAGCAGGTGGATGCTCGCTGCTATGGAAGCGATATGAAGCGATCATTCTTTGATCATTCCAGATTCTCGAGATCTTTCCAATCTACGGGAAAAGGGGTCATTGGACAGGTATGACACGTGCCAGCAACACGTCACCACACACGTTCCCAACTTGGGACACCCTGACCAAGCCAAGCTCCAACCTGAAAGGCGACGTTGGGCACCAAAGTCAGTATGACCCTCCAGTGGTGGAGTATGGCGCTGTCGGGTTTTGTGTGTGGTGGGAGGTCAGAGGTGGGAAATGAAGACTACGGCCATCGTCCAAGAGGTATTCTCACATGCAAGGATGTTGGTCCAACCAATGCTTTCGAAGAAAGCACTGAGTTCGTGTTGCCCAATTTGGCCGCTCGTGCTGGAGGGACCTCCAAGGCTTCAGAGGGATGCTCTCTCTGCTAAGGGCGGCACAGCACTTCCCCCTCCTCATGGGCGGAGTCAAGGTAGATCACTTCTGGCAACCTGGTACAGCCAAGGCACTTCTTTTCAGAGTAGGACTTGGTTCCCCAGTTCCAACCATGGATCATTTGCGGAGCACTATTGGAGCAAGTAAATAGAAGTTTCAATCTGTCACCTACCAAAGTCACCGCCGGCACGCCCTACTAAGGTCATCCTTTGATTCTTCCGACACATCGATTTGCCGACCTCACGGAGGAACCAAGCTAATGATCCCACAGCGTCCGGCCGCCGGAAAACAGGAGCTTTGGGCCAAACCCGCGACCGGCGCCGCATGCCGCCGCTCTCGGCGCACCGGGCGGCCCCCACGGAGCCCGAGAGCGCCGTGCCAAGGAGTCCACGAGCTTCAAGGCGACCACGGAGGTGGCGGGCAGGGGCAACACCTCATGACTTGCCACTGGTGCTGGTCCATCAAAGGCTCCTAAATGTGCCGATGAAATGGATCTCGTGTGAAAAGGATGGATGTTTTGATGTGTGTTTGGTCAAGGGAGGCGCAGCGGGTCGGGTTCATACTGGTGGGATCGTTGAGGGTTCTGCACTTGGGAGCCCCACGACAAAGGATCATGTTGTTCTCTGCATGTCCCTGCATTCATATGTGCAAAATACCTACAGTCTGATGATGGAGAATCACTGGACTAAGTGGATTAGGAATGAACAAAGCCCTTTTCAATCTCATTTGCGTGGAGGCAGCCAAGGTACTTGAAAGGCTGGATGTTATCTGCACCTCCTGGTGGCCCGATTTTTCACATGCGAATGGATGTCTTGGAACAGGGATTTCATCATGAGTTGTGAGTTGCGCTCCCAGTCAGACTGTTTTGAGGCAAGCGCGCCCCATTTGTGTGCCACAATTCTGATTTGGGGGCATCATAATCATTCATCCGTCTTGAAGCACTACTCCCACTGAGGCTCCAGGCACAGTAGTGTAAGTTTGCATTCCGGAGGTGGTTTCTGAAGCCTGCAGTGTTGGGCCCGAACTGAATCAACTCAGCTAAATGGAAGTCATTGGAGTTGCAAGTTGTATTGCGCCTTCTATGTCAACTGAGGACCCACAAATTTGGGGTGTAAAACATCTTACAGCTGGATCTTGGATGGTTTCTGGCCCCTGGCCCAAAGGAGCAAACTTGCACCTTTTGAGGATTGCAGTCCTTCATTCCGTCTCATAAGAACCGCCCAAACCTGGTCCAGTTCCGATCTCCCCCCTCAGCCTTCGATTCGAAAGCAATTGAACAGGTGTCAGTAACTTCGGGCCCATCTATGGCAGCTGCCACCAACCTGCACCCCGACCATCGCAACCGGCCGTCAGACCAGCCGCCGTAGGGACCACAGCAACTAAACTAAGCCAAACTATAATTATACAGTGAATGCTGAACGCTTGTCAACGCTTGTTGGTTGAACATAGTTTTGCCACACTCCTGTTTGATGTCACTAAAGCCATTTATATAAAAGCATGCTATCCTTGCCTTCAAACAAAAATGCGGACAAATATCAAGAAGGACTCTACATCTTAATGCTCTCTTAATGTCTACATCTAGTACATCAGTCTGGAGTCTGGATCTTTTGTAACTCAACACCGCCCACCGCCAAATCCGGACGTCCCGGGCGGTCAAAGAGCGTGATCCGGCCATCGGCGCGGAGCAGTTTCCGGCGCTCCTTTCGATGGATTCCAAGCGCAGGCATGGTGGGAAGCCATGGAAGCTTCAGTGATGCTCGTCTTAATATATTAGACATACGGATAAACAGGCCGCCAGGCTTCTTCTCGACGGATCCAACCAAAGGTGCGCGCGGATGACTGATGAGAATGTTCCAGTCACGAACGAGGCGTCCCAAGCAATTGGAGATGGTGACCTGATGTCTCAATTTATCTCATGCATTATGGTGCATGGGGCATCAAGACAACGATCAATAAAATCACAACTCTGATGCTCAACCTCTGGAACTTGAGAGTGGCATCATGTCCAACAGTGAGTACCCCTCCCCAAACGATTGCATGGAACCTTAGAATTGACCCGTGGTTTCGACCATTTTCTGAATACCACGTGGTTTTAAAGGTTCCATGTGAACTTTCCGGGGGAGTATCTCTTTTTTGTGCCAGTGAGTCACATCTCTGGAGCTGTAACCGGCCGGTCTCCTCCGGGGGCCGCTCCCACAAGACACGCACATCGCCCAAGAAGGTGTCGACGGCGACCACCTCAGTTGCAGGCATCTGATTCTATGGCTCCTGATGGGTCCTAAAATACACCACTACTCCAGCACCCTGGTGTACTGGTCTATTTGGTATTGTATTGTGGGCTAGATCATATTAAATCCTGATGGTCCTACACTTCTTCTGACTCCTTCTCCTACACTCCTAAGGTAGACTCGTCCGTCTTCCAGTCTTTCAGCACCTGAGCTTGCTGACTGATGTGTTAAGTCCATGTGCCAAAATCCGCTCGCTGGCCACGATGGCAGAGCCGCCCTGCAGACCAAGCAGGGAAAAGCAACGGCGGGAATGAACGGGGTCTTGTCAGCTTTTGCGAAGGGAGATCACCTGGGACCAACCATGAAATCATACGAACATCTCTGTCTGCCACACGGGATTTAAGAGGTTTCAGTGTTCACTTTGACCCACCTCTGCAAAGCCACGACAGAATCTGTGCTAAGGGAAGATTACGTAATATTTGCAAGAAATCCCCATTGCCTTCAGTATGAAAAGACTCCTGAGTTCGCACAGAAACCTCCCAGTCTTTGTTGTACAATATTGGATGGGATGATGGCATGGACTACAATCTCAACATCGACTCGCTTGTCTCCATGTCCCCTTGGTTGGCCACCCCCCACCAAACATGTCGCGCGTCCCTTGACAGGGACGGGACGAGAGCGCGCCCGGTGCGTTCACACGAGCTCCGAAGCACTGTCCGCTACAAGTCATTTCTATTTCTGGCCGCTGCTGCCGCGCACCTGGTGGATGAGTTCCGTCCAACCGATTCCAATTCAACAGCATTGCTGATCATATATATATATATCCATATATTATATCCTAATAATTAATCGTCTCTTTCCGCTTTTGCTTCGGCTTCATCCATCATCAACTCATCGACTTGGCCTCAAAGCTGCCGAGCTCGAGCCAAAAGCTGGGTTTCGCCACTGACAGCCTCAGCCCGGCGCTCGGAACGAGCGCCCTGTTGACCTAACAGGGGAGCCCCTGACGTCACAGTCCCAACAGATTCAACAGATGTTTGAAAGGTAGCCATGGGATCCTATTAGGTGGTCCGCCTTTTGGCAAATGATTTTGCATTTGAACGAATGCCAGCTGGATTGGACATCAGTGTTCCCCCCCTCTTTCTCTCTCTCTCTCTTTCTTTGTGTCACTCCACCCACCTACATTGGAAGAGGAAGATTGGGGTCGACCCTCGTAGAGTGGCCTTCACCCTGATCCATGCCATGAAAGAAATTCAAAGGTTTCCAGGATCCACTGGACTGAAGTAGCTATAAACAACTGCCACCAAACGAACACTGCTCTCTCACTACCGTGGAAATATGGTCGTGGAAACCTGTTGTAATTGAAGCGTTCGTCACTGAGGGGTCGGCACCAGGTCCACATCTTTGGCAGACCTTGCACAGAGGTGAGCTTCGATTCACATCGATCTCATGTTGCGTCACTGTGACATGTGGAAGTCTCAGGTTGTTCAAGCTTGACTTCGTGCACCACTTCCCGCCCTCCAAACACACCTCACGCAAGCGCGTGTTCACAGAAGACGTGTTGGGGGCAGGGAAGTCGAAACATACATTTTACGGTGCTGAACTGAGGTCGCCACTTATATATCGTAACTGCTACTAGTGTGGATGGGGGACTGACTTGCTTCATCTTGTGCAGTGTAGATAGCACATGCCGTCCAACAGCAGCTCACCATTAGTCGTCCAAACCTGCTCAAATGGTTGAAACACCCCACCATTGATTTGATTAAACAACACCTTCGCGCACATAGCACCCAACTTCTGAGCGTTGTGCATATGCGTCATACTGGTATCAGGAACAAGGTCCTCATATTCGAAGTCAAGCATCGGATCATTCCTGCAGGAACTCGGGGGCTGCTTTCGGAACTGCATTGCTTGAATCTGCATCCATTTGAAGTGACTGAAGTATCTGCCCTTGTTACGGTGCCAACTTGGAGCGGTTGAAGAGTTCAACCTTGTGACCCCAACATGGTGATGCATGGTCTTGATTCAACTTTCAACCTATAAACTTTCACATGGAGCTTAATGATCAATGTTGATCCTTGGACAAAGGATGCCTCATCAAGGGCCATCCACACAATAGCAAGGAATCACATATCTCCTCGGACAGGAGGCCTTCATCTTAAGTTCTAGTAGGTAACTAGGCCATGTTAACCTGAGGAAACTTATGCCCTTGATGAAGCTGACTACTATCCGACTGTTCCTCGCAAAGCGGCGTCGCCATCATGTCGCCATCATGTCCAAATGATTGCCATCCCCAAGTGGTGAAACCAGGCTCGACTGCCTATCCCCAAGTGACCAGCGATTCGACTGCTTATCCCCATCGTTCCGGCTCCGGTCCCAAGGAAGAGCTCGTCCAAGAGCTGTTGCGCCACTGGCGGGCGCACTCCCTACGGAGAGGGAGGAGTCCGGGAGGAGGTTGAAAAACATCGTCACTGGAGTGGTCATTGGGACACCTACAGCAATTAGATGGATGCTTCCTTCCAAACACATGCATGCACTCGTGGAAGCTAAAACCAGCACCATGCCTGTCATCTGAGTCGTCTGTAGCTCTGAGGTGCGTGTGGACTCTGAAATGGTTGGACTGCTGGGACCAATCGAAAGCTTTGCTCACATTGGAAGCGTGTTGTTGGAAAACCTGGTGCCATGAAGCCCGCGTTCTGGTGACAAGCTCCAACGCTGTAAAGTTCCCCCTATGGGCGCGCCCATGGCCCACCACAAAAAGGTCAGGGACCAACGGGTACCAAGAAATTGATTGTGTGATCTCATCAAAAGTTCTTGAAGCGAAGGCTAAAACGGTCTGCAAGCTTAGCGCTGGCGCATATGCTTTCGCATGACACGGCTCGAATGGCGCATGGCTCACGGCTCGAGGCTGACCACACTGATAAACAACACAGGCTGACCACACGGGGCCTCATGATCTATGATGATCTATGTGAGCAACTGCCAGAAGGAACCCGTACCCCCGTACCAGTTGATGGAGAGCAAGCTACAGTCGTACAAGGGAAATCAAACATAAACAGGCAAGTTCAAGTTCATGTTGTTTTCCCTCTTTTCTTGTAAGAATTCACGATCTTGATTCTTGATGCTTATTTACCCAAGTGTCCATCACCACTTTGGATTCTTCTCCCATCTCCCATCTCCTGACACCTCATCTTCCCACCTCCCGGCAGCGGTTGGCCCAGGTGAGGCCACCCAGTGCGGTGAGGGGAAGCCAACGCCACAGGATCCTGCGGTGGCCGTGACAGTTTGAGGGACCCAATTCATCGGTTGAGGCGGTTAAGCACGCTCTTTTAAGAAGGTGGTTGAACATAAAGTAGACTCTTGATTAATAAACCCTCCTTTTGAATTGGACATGCTCTACATTACCAACAGTGGGTTGGAAGGATCCAACGAAGATTCTGGTGATTGGATTCCTTTATGGGGTATGGACCAATTGATGGCACACTTGGTGCTCGGATGTCTGAGCACACTGCCAGGAATTCACTCCCGAGATCTTCCAAGATGATATATTGTCACCGCAGCCCATGGTGCCTGAAGTGACGCGTGCCTGGGGTCGCCTGTTCGAGACGGATGAGTTGGGGCCTCCGCGGATTGGTGCCATTCATGAATTTGCACCAGCCAGCCACATGTGCACCCCAAAATATACAGTATCATGCGCGACCCTGACCTGCTGTGGGCGGATTTGAGGAAAAATGACCGTGCCGAGGCATCGCTCTGATTCGCTGGTATATAGCCCGAGTAGCTGGCAGGAAAGCCATCACGGAGCCCCCAAAAGCTGATTTGTGAGTAATTCGCTCATGTAACACCATAGTCCTCTATAGAAGACAGGCGGTTTTACATGGTTTTCCACTTCCATTGTTATTTCAGGGGGTTGTCAATCATGTGTGAATCCGCTGTGCAGTTTGGAGGACTAATAGTCACTTCTGACGGCTGGCCCAGCCTTCCCGCAGGTCGATTTGACATGATTTCACTGCTCCTCATCACCATGTCGCAGCGGCAAGGGCGACATGTTGTAGAAGTTCATCCAAGTTCTGTCATCCCATGCAAGTTCAGCTCGTTCAAGGGACATTCTTGCACCGCATGCATCTGCATGCCATGAGTCCATCACCACAGCTCGCTTTGTAGAAGGTTGACGCTCTGGACTGTACAGGAGTTGCAGGTGCTTTTTCTGGGAGAATAGGGCAACACGAGCGAAATCGACCGTGAAATCGACCTGTCGAGCTGTGATGTTTTACTTCAGCTCAGGCAGGAATCAGTCCCCACTTGCCCCGGTGTAGGACATTCTATTGACATCCTTCGCTTTCAGTTGCACCCCAAAACATATTATATATATATATACATACATATACTACGATAATTTCATATACCTTGCCGAGCCGTCCTTTAGAGCTGGTTCCCACAAGCCACCAAGTCCTGCGGTGGGTTGGTGGCTACAAGAAATACCATGCAGGGTAGATGTTCTCTGGGTCATTACAGCGATATGGATGTCCAATTGGCAATGTTCTGTAAAACACATTGAGACGCGCATTATGCATTGCCAAGTGATTTCGAGCTTTCGTATCTATTTGAGGATGTCTCCACCTACAGGTCCATCACTTTGGAATCTACGAGTGTCAAATGCCCGACGCGGGTTGGAGCATGTGAGCCAAAAGCTTCTGAGTTGGATTTGAAGAAACCCACAATTTATAATCATTTATCACAAAACTACAAAGCGCCGTTGCAGGTCGAGGAAAGGAGGTCGAGAAGTTGGTCCATTCAAGAAACCCTCAGATCTGGGCTGCCTCTACATATCTATACAAATATATCTATTCAGACTCACATATATATATATATATATATTATATCTTATATCTTATATCATATCATATATAGATCCCATCCCGGACGCATGACTAATTAGACCATGCCAGCCAGGCTGCAAAATTCAACGCCCCTCGCTCCTCCAGCCCCAACAAACATACTTCCGAGGACCTAAGAAGCCAATGAAGCATCTCCTTCAATCCAACCATCTTTTCCGGACCTGTTGTCCACCAAAACCGGTACTTCGGTACTTGTGCAGGCATCAGCTGGCCTTCCATGGACGATTCTACCATGCCAACCTCAAGTTGTCTTGGCTGTGCTGCATCGGGGGCGCCTCGACCACCTCGTGCTTTCGCTCGTTTTTGCTCCACGCCCTTGGCATCCGCAGCTCAGCCGTGGACGCGCCTCCGAACTACGGCTGAACCCCAGCGATGCGACACACCAGTGGAGGGCCAGTTCCCTAGTGGGCCCGTGATGGTCCTGTTCCAATTCCATGATTGGACGGAAAGACGACCAGCACCCTAGGCGATCGACCCCAACAGCGAGAACCGCAGCTCGCATCCCAACGAGAACCGCAGCTGCGCCGCGCCTTTCAGAAGGTACAATGTAGTGGCAGCGGAATCGTGGACTCCCTGCGTGGATCTGTCGTCTTGCTCCCGCAGTTGGGAAGAGTAGAGGGGGTTGATTGGGTGTCATAGACCTAATGATATTGGATGTATTTGGATGTTCACTTCTGGGCTATCCCGTCTATTCTTCGACCAACCAATATGAATCTATATGAGGTCATATAAGGCCATATGATCCGTCCATAACCCGTCCATGGTTCCAAAGGATCAGAAGCGGGAAGTGTATAGAACAACAGGGAGTCTTCATGTGTTCTTGCGCCTTTGATCCAGCAATTGCAATGCGATTGCAGGCCTTTCATCCAGCAATTCCAAGTTTTCTTCACGCCTTACTATATTTTGTCAGGTATTTGTTACATTGCATCCCATTTCCGACGCCAGCCTCTGCGCGTTTGCCAGCGCCCAGGGTCTCCAAGGCCCAGCCACCAGTCGTCTTTTTCAGCCACCAGTTCGTCAAATCCTTCGCTTCGCTACTCGGCGTCTTCTGCGCCAGTTGGGAGATTGCTGTGGCTGTGCTGGAGATTCGAGATGCTTCCAAGGCCCTGGTGCCAAAAAGGCTGTACGACATGGCATTAAGGACCTCTCCACCAGCTGAAGGACCCTGACCCCTTTTTCGGGTCAGGCAATTTCAAGTCTCATCGAGTCTTATGACTGGGCCCAGGCAGCCCAGGCCCAGGAATCTGGCTGGATTTTGGGAAATAATTCAAACTGAAATAGCCTCCAAGTCAGAAGTCAAAATGTAAAATGTGCTCGCCCAAGGTTTGAAGTGAAGCCGGAGCGTTGCCTCGTTGGTCCACTGCTGCCAAGTTCGGATTCGTTTCATCGTGCTACTTTCCTTTGCTTTCATTCAAGAAATGGTGCGAGATGTGCCATTCTGCATCCCCTGGGTCAGGACCCCGTTGTCCCAAACAAACGGCTCAAAAGACTACATTGGGGCATCTAATCTATCTTACGTCTATTCCATGTCTATTGTCTATTCCTTATTGTTACTCGGCCTTGGCCTTGCTAGTCTCTTCCAAGCAACGGAAGACACCGGGAAACTCCTCCGTGCCCAAACATCACCTCAGCCATTGAGGAAACACGTAGTCCGAGCCAAAGGCCCGCCAGCCACCGAGCCAAACCGGTGACGCCCGTCGTAGAAATGCCGCCCCCCAAGGAGACAGGTTGGAGGATACGAAGCACTGCTGTGGAATTGACGTATATACTTCCTCCTTGTACCAATGGGCATGTTCTTTACGGGACACCAAACTGCCAAAGCAACATCAACACAACTTTGCCCTTCCACTGCCCGAGATCGAGACATCTCAAAGTTCTTGCTTTCGATACGAGAGCATTTTCCCTAAATCTACATAGATATATAGTCAGGTATAGTGACATCATTGTTGCGGGCTATTCTGTTCATTGTCGCTTCATACCTTTGCATGTTGCAAGGACCTACGGTCCGCCGGAAAAGCACTGCCGCGCTGACTCCCATGGACACGAGACATTGGCCGTGCAGCCGTGCAGCGCGCGAGACATTGGCCCGGCTCACACGTGAAGCTTGTGGATCCGCCTCGTGAAAACCGTGCCCGGTGAGGCTTCACGGGGCTACGGGCGTGGAACCGGCCCATTTGGTGCGGGCAAGTCCAGGTTTGTTGAGGGTTTATGTTGAGTCCTTCAACGAATCCTCGTGAAGGATACTTGCCGAGTAAATTCCGTGTCGACCAGCGATTCCAAACCTGTCTTCTTGTCTTTTTGGCACCCTAAAAGCCCCGACCCACAACAGGTAACTGCGAACTTAAACAAACCAGCCTGGAAAACGAGCTGGTAAATCATGGACTGGCCAATCAAGAACCTCTTCTTCCGCTGATGGATTAATCCTTGGAATACGCAAGCTGTTGGGCTCACCAGTGACTCACCAGTGCAGTTGATGGCAGGCTGTTTGTTGCTGGCACTCTGCTTCTTCTTTTTGGTTTTTGGCTGGATCACCATTGTGCAAGCAAGACCCATCGAATTTCACTCAGCTGGGAATGATCAAAACACAAGTGTGACAAATAAGTCGTCGTTACGAGTTATGACATCAGTTTCAACTGCTGTCAGCAGAGGACAAATGAGTATTCACAAGATATCGCCGTCGCAATCTACCCTCTCACAGGATCTCTGGCAAGTTGCTCTCCACCAGCTTGATGTTTGAGGAAACATGGGGAACATCCAGGCCAGTAGGACCATTGCAAGCAAAGGAACAGTACTGTAGACTTTGATTTCAACAGTTTCATTTCATGTTCAACAATGCAGTGACCAACCCGATGAAAAACAGTTCCAAACAGCTCTTCACGTCTTGAATAAGGTTTGCTGAATCTTGTTGCAAATCTTTGCAACATCTCTTTCCGCCCCGGCTGGCACCAAATGTCCAGCACTGCCCAGCACTGCCGCCCAGGATCAGTAGCACTGCCGCGCTGCTGTTGCTCATCGGCTTGGCCCACAACTGCACCCCGCTCACTGGTGCCACCCGCAAGCAGGTGGCCTCGCCAGCCTCGTCGCTTTTCAGCTCGCCTCCGGTGTGGCTCACACAGCTAGGGCACGCAGAAAGAATGCAAGGACTCAACTGAGGTCAACCATCAATCACATTCAAACACCCTATATAATATCACCCTATAGAACAAATGAGAACAGGTAGCAAGTAACAGTCGAGTTTTCTGAATGGATGATAAGTTTACAATCGTGCTTTCCTCAATTGTCCTTCAGCCTTTTTTGAGCAGTTGCGGATGCGGTGGAAAACTGCAGCAATTGCGTGCTACTGATACTGTCCGTCAAAAGCTTTGGCATATTTCACGATCAGGGACTCAGGGAAGAAGAAACCCACCATTTTCAGACATGAATCAACAGGCCAGAGATCCACATTGATCTACAAAAATCATTACAATCATTACACATCTCAGAACCCCCCTCAATTCCCACTCGACGATCATTCCGAATTTTCAGGGATTGCAGGCCTTTGGAGGTCAACGAGAACTTCCTCTTGTCCGAGGTCAACGAGCGTTCTCCGGCAGAAGCCGCTCTCCTGGGCACCTGCAGCAACACGAAGGACACTGGCGGATCAACTGGATTCACTCAGCTCCTTCAGCATCTTCAGGACAAATGGGTACAGAGTCCCTACGAGTCCCTGGTGGATCCAGGGGGAGGGGGATTAGTCAGAACTCCCACCATCTGCCGTCCCAGGCACCGGCGCCAAGTCGCGGAGAGGAGAGGCGCCCTCGGAGATGTGATGTGCCCAGGGCGACGGTCCGCGCGGACCGTCCGCGCAAGCCTTAGAGTGGTTTTGGTCCAAGGTGGGCGGTGGAAGGGAGGGTGAGGGAGAAGACACGCCGATGTTCGAAGCACAAGGGCGATTCGCCAAGCCTTTGAGGCGACAACGAATCACGAATCGTGCAGCGAAAAAAGCCCTGAAGAGTCCAAGCGCTGGATGTGGTGGAGCCTACTGGATGAACAACACTCCACAGAAGCGGACCACTAGCCACTATACAGTAAGACTATACATAATATATGTGTAGAAGAACTGATTTATTACACCACGAGATCCAGAGCAAGGACTTTTTTTTTCCGGAGGATTTGTCGACGCTGCTTGTTAGCTTGTTTGGATCTTGCCTAGCCTACCCAGTAGATCCCTCATTACCACAGTCGTGTAACTCATCACACGGATCATTCGCGCTCACGCGCTGGCCCACACAAGCACTCAATCCCAAGGAAGTAACATTGCCCCACATGGAGATAAGATAGATAGATAAGGGGAACATCGAGAAAAAGCCCTGAATTTGACACTTCCAGGGGAGCCCTCTTAACCCTGAGAGTTTTGCCCAATCCAGAATCCAGTGGCAGAGACACCCACCGTGGCAGCCTTCCGGGTGAAGTATCCGGTCGATGTGTTGAAATCTATGGGATTGGCATACCTGAGCCGAAGTCAGTCGAGCCCACCTTGGTGTAAGACCGAACCACCCAGATCCCGCGCTGGGAATCCACGGGTGAAACTGAAACTGATCTCTTTGAAGGAGTTGAGAGCTACTAAGAGCCCCCCTGGGTCACAAACAATTGTCTACAACTGTGCATCCTTCTGAGCCACAAGTAATTCAGCTCCTTGAAACTGCAGCTCTTGCTGCTTTTGCGCCTCCCCATATCGCCAAGGAACAGGCAGCTCAACTGGCTATGGTGGTCATTCCACTGGATCCGGCCACCAGACAAAGTCCAGTCCCCTGAGGGCAACTCGCCTGGGGGAAGTGGTGCGAGTGGTGCGTGAGCTGCAGTGAAAGGAGTGAAAGGAAGTAGCACGGGATAAGGGGGAAAAGAAGCCATAGACCTTGAAGCTTCTTTTTGTTAATGGTATTCCTGCCATTTAATGGACATAAGTCATAAGTGACAAGTATGACCTTTCTATGGGGATAACCATTTAAGACTTGTTTGGCCATTCAACACGGAACCGTTGGGATTCCACTGATCAAGGCACCCTCTTCAAGTGTTTATTGTGGGGAATTCCTTCAGCAGCCAGTTGTTCGTAAGATTTATATGTGTACCACAACTACGATTGTCCAGGTCCAAAATCCCGTTAATACCCAGAAAAAACACCTCACTTTCGTTGCCCATTCCCAAGCAAACCTGGCGTCCGGGTCCTGCTCTTCCTGCCCCGAACTGATCCACCCGAGCTGCTACAGTTCCGCGCGGCCAGTCCGCACTGCACATGTGGAAATGCCGTGGTGGGCGGTGGGCAGGGCACCGATTGGGTCGTCAGGCAGGTGGGCCCAGTTCCACGAAGAGGAGTCCGGAGCTGTCCTGCTGGTGCATGGAGAACTAGACTGACCTGGTGACGCTAATGGATCAAACGCATTGAATGATGCCGCAGAATTAAGCCCTTGGCCCATCTACAAAAATAGATATAACACGCACTACTAAATGCACCACTAAATGGTTCTTAAAACCGTAAGAGCCCGAAATTTGGAATGTGCCCAAGAAGGCGCAAATCGAGCTGAACACCGTGGCAGTGGTGACTTGAAGATGTACGAGGGCCCCGGTGCTTTCATGGTTTGTAGTTCTGCTTGTGACGTCACTCGGAATGCAAATGGTGCAACCGGCGAAAAGGATCCAAAACAATGTTTCCCTGACTTGTTTCCTCAGATTCAAGTATGTGCCCTAGCAAAGAAGTTGTTGTGAACTATCAGAAGTGCTCCACATGGTGGTCATAGTCAGGGTCTGCCCTCTGAATGAGAAGACCAAGTGGTTTCGAAGCTGTGTACTTTCTCTATCACCTTGCGTTTGGAAGGCCCCTCCAGATTGAACCACAGCAAACGGCTCGAGAAAAAAAAAACTAGCACTACCTGCTACCGGCACTGCAACCCCATCTGCAAAGGTTTCAGGCTTGGTCAATCTCCCTACAACCCAGTTTGATACATGTGATTTTTGTACCGTTTAGTTTGCTCTGCATCTCGGGCACCCCCAAGCAGCACCTCCTTGGAAGCTCCACTTCGTGGACTCCACTGAGCCATCACATGGGCCCTGTACCACTGCAAGCGCATCGCGCGTGGAGGGGTAGCTTTGAATCCTAAGTGAAGCTCCAGCGGCTGCAAGTGGATGATTTGGGGCACTCCCAGCCACCCGGCCATGGTTGACGATTCAGTATGTATATATATACAGCATGTATATAAACATAATGGGCATCATATATACACCTAGATCAGTGACCTGAAGATAGGGACGTCCTATATAATGTGGTCCTCTGATTAATAAACGCCCCTAGAATAATGTATTATTTTTTCTCCTGCACTGATTAATAAAGGCCCCCAGAATATTTTTTTTGGCAGGGATAGTTGTAGTGGATTTGTTTTAATTGTTATAGTTTACTTTTTTCCCTTTTGAGTTTGCTGGGATTTGCTTATCTTACAGGCTTTTGGATGGAGATTTCTATTAAACATTTGAAGATTTCCATTGAGATTTGATACTTTTGGAGGCTTTTGGATGGAGATTTCTATTCAACATTTAGAGATTTCCATTGAGATTTGATGCTTTTGGAGGCTTTACTTACCTAAGCTCTTTAGCCTTTAAGCTTTCCAACACTTTCCAAAAGCCAGTGTACACTTTCTTTACAAAATCGCTTATTCAAAAGTATTGGAAAAAGAAACATCATTCAAGCACAGGGGGTAGTCCAGCAAGCAGCTTTCTGACATTATTTAAGGGGGGCCCTAGAATAATGTCTAGAGATTTCAGGCTTCAACACATATTTAAGTAAACTTGTATTCATTCCCTTTCTTTTCCTTTTGATTTGCTTTACTTACCTAAGCTCTTTAGTCTTCAAGCTTTCCAAAAGTTCCCAAAAGTCAGTGCACACTTTCTTTACAAGACCCTTATTCAAAAGTATTGGATGCTTTTGAAGGTCTTTGGATTCAGATTTCCATTAACATATTGAGAATTCCATTTCAACTTTATTGATTTCCTTATATTTTAGTATTCCAGATGTCTTCAATTTGAGATTTCATTGATTCCCTTTTATTTTTAATATTGCCAGAGAAGGCCAAGAATATTTTAAACATGATTCTAATTGTTTTTGTCCTTTGATTAGTCTTCTTGTAGATTATATTGGAGGCCCTGGTTGTTGAAGGGGGGGGGCCGGGGGGGGTTGATTAATCAAGGGACTACATTAGGGAGTTTATATGTTCTGGTACTGGATAATGCCTTTTGCACGACTTAGAAGTGTAATCAAACACTTGCTGCATTGGGATTTCTAGATCCCTTAGATGTGACACGATCAGCTGGAAAAAGAACTTGCCTGCTAACTTAAAGACAATCCTTTTGCTCCACCACCAGCCCTCCTTGGACTTCTACACCTGGTTGTCACACCGAGCGGGATCGCCCCTGTGCTTGACTTACGCGCCACTGCCGCGTAAGGCGCAAGGTGCCCGGATGCCCGGCCCAGGTGTCAGAGACGCGAAGGGCATCAGTGTTGGTGATGATGGGCCAAACTCTCTCCTCTCATCTGCTGTGTGGCCTTATGGCCTTTCTACCGAAGATGTTATGAACATGTCATTGATGGGAAGAGGGCCTTCATGACACAGTGGGAAGAGGTCATAAAGCCTCTGGCTTTTCTGCATGACACGGTGCAGGCGTACGGATAGCATAGGAGGTTAGATGCCATGAAGGCTGTGGGCAAATCAGCTGGGTTTCTGTTCTCGCGCTGTCACGGTCCATTTTTCAACTATGTCTTGTCGGCGAAATCAAGAACAAACAAACATGACTGAGTAAGTAAGTTTGGGCACGAAGGAGAAAAAACACAAAACAAGTAGAACTTACAAACTTTCATCAAACGGACTTCAAACCAACCCTTCAACAACTGGTTTACCGTCCATGTCTTCCAGCCCGGCAGAAACCGCTCGACACGGCACGACATCGAACCCCGTCCATGGTCTGGGAGTCGTTCAGATCCTGGGCAGCGGAATCCGCTCGTGGGCAAAAAGGAAACATATATTGGGCAAGTCCTGGGTTTGGGGAGCTGGTTTGCTGGGTTAACTAGGGTGACCTCCACCGGAGAAATGGAATTGCACACCGCCGTGTCAACGAATGTGAAGGAGTCCCTTGTAGACACTCTGCTCAAACATCGAATCGACGAAGTATCCTGTTTGTTTGCGTGCCCTAGGAGAAGCAAACAACATTTCAGCTGACATAGGACAAGTGCCCAAACTCGAATTGTGGGCCAACACGATCAACTTGCATGGGAGACAGCATCGTTGATCATAATCGTGCACTCCCCTTGAGCTGCACATGCATGGTCATGTCTGGTCTTGCTTCTCGGAGGGCTGCCCATGCCATAAACTGAGATTGATTGGACATTGACACACGGATTCATTCTGCTGATCACCCTTTGCGCCTCTTGAATTTTGATAGCTATATAAGCAGATCAAAGATGATCTAGTAATTCCAGTAATTCTAAGTAGCATATCCCCACTGGTTCCAGCGGGTTCTCTGTCAAACGCCCTCCAGCAGCAGCACTTGGTGCAAGGCACAAACCCCAGAATCAAAGGCGAGGAGATGATCGACCACAACCTCATTAGCAGTTCCCAGCATAGCTCTTTGGTCCGTTCGGTTGTAGTGTAGTAAGTCCTGTTCGATTCCAACCCCAAAGGAAAACAACTTCTTGGAAGAACGCAAGGCGAGAGCGTCCAGAATTCAAATGCCGAAAGTCTTCAGGGGCTGGTGTGGCTTCTGCTGATGAGGCATGCCAGAAATCGAGAGACCCTAGTTGAGGCCGCGAGACAAGCCTAGTTGAGGCATTTAAAGAAAGAAAAGGAAAGCCTAAGCACCGGCAACGCTGCTCAAACCACAAACAGTGATATCGAGCCAAAGGGCCCCCAATGTGTTCTTTCTTGATCATCGCGTGAAGGACCCGGCGCAAAGTTACCAACCTGTCACACTTAGTGGGGCAAACTCAGAGGTGCACTGGCTATGTTGGCTGCAGAATCGAACAAGATGTACTCCACACATATCCATGTAGTCATTTGGCATCAAACAACAAGAAACATAGACCAAGAACAAGCATAGTTAAACATAATGCACATGTTTCATTTGTTGAATTGAAAAGGAGCTTGCATCATTCTATGCATCACCAAGGTAGGCCCAGCATGCCTCACTCATGTCAGGATAGGCCCAGCACCCCGGGCCCGAGCGGGGCTCAGGCAAATCGGCCGCGTCGACCGTGGCCTTAAGGAGCTGTGGGTAATGGAATTCCAGGTTTTAACAAATACAGCTTTTGCGGCATTTCAATGCCCGCAAAACTGCCAAGTTCCACTTTCCCTGGTCTAAGAGATTTGACTAATCAATGGTGAGCTAGTGTGAACTAAGTGGTCCAAACCACGCAGAAGGTCGGTGTGGCATGGAATTCCTTGCGCCATTAATTGTTGTTTTCCTGACCTGATGGCCAAAGACCCTTGTGAGAGAGAAGCATCTCGTCGGTTGTATTATTGCTTGCGTGTGGGGATATGATTTGTTTTGGCACAGATCTAAAGCCAGCCTAACTGGCACTTTGCATGATAGCTTCCGAGTGGCCGAACTGGATTCAGTCACTCTTTAGACTTTCAGCGTTTCCTCCCTAAAGAAAAACACGCATGAAGCTCTGCTGTGAGCTGCAAAGGCAAAATCGCCTCCTCTACAATCACGTTCTCAAAACTTATATAACTTTGAGGTCTGACCTGGTTCCTTTGCTGTGGTTCTTGCGCTCTTTCAGCCATACCGAACTCAATGTCTAGTGGAAGTTTGCCCGGCCTTCCGCCTTCTTGATGTAAGACGTAAAAATCAATAGTGATTGAGATCAATCAATCCGTGTTTGCTTTCTTTTCAGAACTCAACTTGTAGCTTGTGAAAGGCTAATCACAGTTATTCTGCTACAAAAGGCTCCTGACTGCCCTCCTCCTGCTACGCCGTCGAGGAACATACGCTTCGTTGAGGATGGAGCTGATGTCGGCGGAGATGTCTCCACCTGTCGAAACGGCGACTCTTTTACTCCGGACGGATGATCGGTACCTATGTGCAATCGAAACGGTCCGCGGGGTTGTCATGGTCCACTCCCTGAGATGAGGCAGTGGAAGTGGATGGCATTGGTCCCTTGGATGACCATGAACTCCTGTACAACTAGGTGGTGCCATCCAAATCTCGAGGATGAAGTGATCCTAGATGGAAAGCATTTTCTGCTGTTGTCTCATGACAGGCAACCGGCCGGTGCTACAAATCAAAGGCCTGTGCGAAAGAAGTTCATGGGGCAAACGCCGGTCTTGAAGTCGGGCCAGGAGTTGTGGCAATTTTCAATGCCTCGATTTTCGACGCGCGACCCACCGGTTGACCCACCGGCGTCTTTTCAATCTTCAGGTCGGTTGAGGTAGGGTGTTCAACAGCAAGGAACGGGCCATGGACTACGTAGTGGATGCATGTGGATGTCGTAAGTGCAGACCGGTGAACCTGCACTTCCCGCGCCACAAGGCTTGGAGTGGCCAAGTGCTGATTCCAAAGGCTGCCCCGCTGGCGCTCGGGAGCATGTCCCAGGTCGTATCACATTTGATGCGGCCAACAGGCACTGAACTCACCCAACATCACCCAACTCCATCCGACTTCATCCTTCAGATCTCTCCAAATACAGAGCCCTCCAAATAATATGAAGTCTTGGCCCACCATTGTTGTTGCTCTTCTTCATACCTTGGGACAAGCTGCGTAGGGCCTTGCCCGTCCGGTTGATGAGCTCCGCCCAGTGTGTCACGTTGGTGGAGCTCCCACAATTGTCGATCTTCCTGTTGGCTTCGGACAATGCCTATATGCGACATCTCCTCCGGATGGTCTCCTCCCAAACCCCCGAAGCCGCAAGTGTCCCATATAGTCGTGCGGAGTCAGCTACTGATCTTGAAGTGACGGCCACCCGACAACGCAAGGGTGGCCTATGGAGAGCTGTTTCTTTTTTACATGTTAATGTTATGTGTTTAAACATTAAGGGCTTTGGATTGCCCACCTGAAGCAGGCCTATCTGAAGCAAGTCTTGCTGAGCAAAGGCCAAGCTGCACTCCATCGAAGCCCATCTCATGGACCATCCAGGCGACGTCTTCCTCGTAGTGCGGCTCACCATGCTCATTACCTCAGCACCGTGCAGGTTCCCCAATAGGAAACACCGATGCTCACGTGCTTCTCTTTGTAAGAGTCCGGCGAAACTTCTTTTGGCTAAAGACCCAACCAGGAAATCCAAATTTACAACAAACACTGTCCTCATCTGTTGGACTTCGGATTTAGCCCCGCAGATCTGAGATTTCACCCTGATCCCTCTTGTTAGGATTGACCACCGACAAAGCAAGCGGCAAATGCAGTTGTTGAGGTAAGTGCCAACTTTCAACTGCCGCGCATGGCCATAGTCCACGAGCTTCTTCCTTAAACTAAGGACAACGTCAAGCCTTAACAGTGTTCTTATATATTGTTATACTGTATGTATTATATATGGATATATGTGATAAGAATTCTGTTTGCGGCCAGAGAGTACAAAAGAACATCGTCACATACCATCAGGACCAATCAGGTGAACAAGTCTCGCTCTTGCAGCAACACACTTAACATCACTTAACGATTGTGCCAACCGGCCGTATTTATGCGATTTATGCAATGCAAGCCTTTTAAGAAGGTATGGAGCACAAACATGCACCAAGACACCACCCTTCTTTCTTGTACACATTTGTGCAATGACTTTGGTGAGCTTTGCGAGCTCTTAAAGGTCAGTTGACGGCAGGTGTAGACTCTACAGGCTCTACAGCAACCTGTCCAAAACGCTATGCCAAGCAGCATGTCAGGAAACCGGTCAGGCCGCACCCTGGGGCGTCCCGACGCGTCGTGCCAGGAACAGTGACCTCCGAAGCAAAGGTTGCCGTCGCACGTGGGGAGCGTTGGATCCAAATCCTGGCCAAGGCGGTTGTTTGGTCGACCAAAGGAACGACAAATCCCCATTTCTCTGCTGTTGGTCTTTGGATCTGATGTCTTGGGATGTTCCATTTGGCTCATCAGAACCGTCGTTATTTTTTTATATTTTTTTTCTCTCCCTCCCTCCCTCCCTCCCTCCCTCCCTCATGGACCGCAAAGCGCAGTGCTTTTTTTAGCATCTCTTAGCCATCCTCTTTCTGGACCACATGGCTCGGTCTAGTCTGCATGCCAGAAAGCTTTCCTAGACCGGGGCCCAAACGATCCCCAAAAGCTTGAGAATCTTGAGACTGAGAAAAGCATAACAAAGGACAATGACATGCTATGACCCTCAACCCCAAATCACCGGATCTCCATTCGGCCTGGCGCACGCTGCAGTTGCACCGCTGCCAGCCATCATCCATGCTGATCCAATCGAATCCCAGCCTCAAATGTGCGCTGCACTACAAGAAAGGTCCATGTGTGTCACGTCGACCATGCGTCGCCGAACACACCGAGAAACTGACACACCCACACACACACACACCACGCACCAAGACCGGCAGGGCTTCGCTGGGTCACATCCATCCACATCCCATCCAGACCCACCTAACCCACCAAACCGAACGGCAAAGGGCCGCGACGTCTGGACCGGCCCCAACGGTGCGAACCGTGTGGCTGGGCCAGGCTGGTGGGCTTTCCATCCACCGAGCGGGACTGGTCGAGGACCGCATCCATCTGGGCGATCATGTGTTCTTGAGTCAAGATCCTCGAGGGCCTCGAAGAGCGAGCGCAAGCGCGGCGCAAGCGGATCAGATGGGCTCTGAGTTGGGAAAAGGATGACAAGGGCTTCCAAGGGAGGTTCATAGGACCTGTGGTACGTATGGGAGTCACTCGGATAGTCTATAGGGTTCTTTAACTTCTGGTGGTTGCTTTGTGCTCCTGAGGGGGATTTGAGATGGAATCAGCTGCTTGAGGATTTGTGATGAGTGATGAACAACGAAAAGGTCAAAAAGAACATCAAAGAACAGCTCAGAGAGTGGAGGTCTTGGACCATGGGCCATTTCCAAGTGTGAGCCGCAATGTCTTTCAAGCGTGCTTTTCTTGCACAATTTCTAGAAGCTTGCAGCTAGCTAGCTAGCACGTAGCTAAGCATAGCTCAGCATAGCTAGCTTGGCTAAGACACCCCCACCTAATTCTCGCCCGATCACAAAAGTTCACGCCAGAATCACGCCTATTCTCGCCCGAATTGAAATGTCGGAAATTGCTTTAAAACTGCAGATTTGCAGGTTAGGTGCTTTGCAAGTAATTTGCAACATCTGCCTGAATAACGATTTCTGCCCGCAGGCAGTTTTGGACAAACCCTGGTTCAGGCAGATCTTCTTGAACAGAAATTTGAGCCTAAATGAGGGTCCAGGCCTAAGCCGTCCAGCGAGACCCTGGAGAACCGCTGTTCCGAACCACGGAGTCTTCCGGGTGAACCGAGGTTCGCCCCACAGGAGCCCCACACCGACCCGAGGACCCGAGCTTCGCCCAGCGGCTCCAAGCAATCGAAGCTGTTCCAGGATCTCCATCCACGTGGAGGTGTAAGACCAAGGCCATTGTCGATCCCCAGGGCTCCCTGGGTGCAACCAGACCGGGGTTGTTTCAACACATACACGAGCGACGGGGAGTTTTCTGGGGGGACCAGGAGACTCCAAAGAGTCGTGCACCGAATGGTTGAAACAGGGCACTTCATTTCCTGTTTGCGGGTGATGGTGGTCATCTCCATCATCTTGATGCCAGCCACACCGGGTTAGGTCAAGTAGGTTCAAACGTGATTGGAAAGGAAAAGATCTGCCAGGTGGTGATGTTCTTGGAGAGTTGGCACCCCAGAATCGACGTCCCAAGTTCACATGAGTTCTACACGTCACAAATCCGCACGAGCTCGTTTTGGATGGAAGCAGTGCACACCTTCTACTCCTCCCAAGTCGTGGACTGGACACGTTAACAAACATGTTGGCCCTGAAACAATGCCTTGCTCACCTAGGCAGTAGGCCCCACTGAATGCAAGTAAGACAATCCATCTTTTTCAGGTTCGATAAATGGTCGTAGAATGTCGTAGATCAAGCTCCTCCCTCACGATGTCCGGATATGTCAACTCATGTCCACCATCCACCATGCATCAAGCATATGAAGTCAAAGACACTGGAAGCAACTTGGCCAACAGCAACGTCAACGCCATGGGTCTCAACAGCTGGCCAGCTGGCCACGCTTCTGCCAGCCAGGACCGAACACCGATTCAGTGAATGATGTGCAAGGACATCATGGTTGGTTGGGCAAAGCCGGGGGCCGGGGATGTCTATACTATTTAGTACAAAATATAATATACATAACATGCTTATTATTCTATATGATATGTAGATATATGTAGTATGTACTGTGGGACATCGTCACCTATATAATCCTATATAGTTGGAGTATGGTGGAGTGTAGCTTGCTCTAATCCAGCGCTGACCTCTTGCAGCACAAAGTGCCTTTTGGCAAGGAGAGTTGTGTAAGGTGTTTGGTGGCATTTATAGTCCACACACAAAAAAGAGAAGCCTGGCAGACTATGACATGGACATCTAATGAATCTAGTATCGTCTACTGATGTTCAATCGAGCATGTTTCCTGTAGTGTTTCGGGCTTTGCTGGAGCCAATCACCATGGCGCAGCCTGGTCAGCCGAAGTGCGCTGACGCCATACAACATCGCACTGTATGGCGTGGCGCCGCGTATCGGCGCAGCAAAACATGGCGCACACGACCTTTTGGGAGTTCCAGCAATGATCAACAAATCAGAACAGTCAAATAATGTCACACTTGTGCCCCAATCGATCTTCACTCTGTAAATGGTACGTAGATCGTGCTGCTCTGGCAGCCCAGCCTCCCATAAACTTCAGCTCAGCAAACTGACGGGTGGGGGAACCCGCGCCTGAGAAGGTGTGAGCCAGGGCCCTTCACGTTGACAACGTCCCAAGGCACTTTCAGAAAGTTGCCCTGGCCGACGGCGCTGGAATGATGGAATGTTGACCCGGTGCTTGCCGGCTCTTCGCTGGCTGGTCATTAGGTGTTTGTGTATGTATTCCCTATAGGGCTCCAACCATATTGTCAGAAGGTGGTTAGACCCCCTCAACCCACCCCAAGCACCGTAACCTCAGGAGGTGGGCCAGGAGCACTAGGGATTCGACATGTCGCCGCCCAGACCGAGTTTCGACGACGTCCTCACCCACTGGTGGCGCCTGGGGGGCGCTGCTGGCCCTCACCAGCTGGTGGCCTCGGAGGATTTCCATCGTCTTGAGGCGTTCAACGAACTCCTCAGATCGATGCTGAGCAGCTCAGATCCATTTTAAAGAGTCTCCAGAGTCTTCGTTTCGAAGATTTCTGCTACCTTACCGGACTGGTTCCGATCCCAGGGTTTTCCTGTCATTCGAGTTCCTTCAGGAAAGCCTGCTGAAAGCCTCCACACCTCGTCCCATGCTCTGAGCTCATCCCAGGACGAAGGAAAACGTCTCTCCCCATGTGCCAGGGCGACGTTCGTCACAAGCCGTCAGGCTTCGGTCGGATCCGAAATGAACCGGAAACCATCAAGAACAAACCGCCAATCATCATCATCATCATCATCATCATCATCATCATCATCATCATCAT